ATTTTTGCTTTTGTCTCAGATCCAAAAATATATTCTTATTTAATAATTACAAGTATGATCGAGCTTAAACTTTACGAAAGGCCATAAACAGCCCTTATTGTTACATCCGTCCAGTTTTACATAAACTGACCTGTACTCTCACGATTTTCCCCGAAAGAATTCATGAAAACGGGAAAAAGAACGGCAAGAGCACTGCTAAATCCAATTGTTAGAATCACGCACAAAGTTGTGAGCCCACAAATAAACCATGACCACAGACTATCTTGCTTGAAAGAGACAATATTACCACAGAAGAGATTCATAGTGATACCAATTTCTGACCAAAAGGCTCTGGTCTCCTCTGCCCGTTTAAGAACGAGTCTCTGTAAGAATCAAACATCTTGGGAAATGAAAATTTTCAACCCCCCTTCAAATTTTGCATGCAGTTAGGCACTCAGGGGGATGCACAAAAATGCCCTTTTTAAAGGTCGCAGCACTCTTGTTGCCATGGTAACAACGGCTGCTTGTTCGAGGCCTGGGACCTCATTTTCATACAAAAACGTCGCAAAATAAGAGTGAAATGTTTATTTCTCTATCTCAAGCTAAATACAACATTACAAATTGGCACTTGTACCATATATAGTGACATCATTCGTCTTCACTTTGATTTATTCAATTTCCCCTGGGAGTGAATGTCAACACACCAATAGATTATTCATCTCGGTACAGTTTCGGTCATTTTGGTTGTCGGTTAAAACAGGGAAAACGTTTATCTGAATTTCTCCAAAAGTACACCAGTACTGGAACTGAAACTACCCACCTAGCTGGTTATAATATTCTAGTTTTTAAATATGTAAAACCTCTGCGGGCCTGCCCCTACTTTTTATAGGGGCAGTTCGCGAAAATAGCTCAAAATCAGATATTGCATAATTTGGCGATGTTTACATCTAATGTTCTCAACAACAAATGTTTCAGATAAATGAAACGAGCGAGACTTTGGAAGAATGTTATCTTATGAGTAATATCCCGAAGAGAAATCTCGCCTCTGGTTGTCATCTTTTTAAAAAAATTGATCAAACTTCATGGAGGACTACTCTACGTAACTACAAACATATACCTCAAATCGTGTGCATATTGTCCAGGTTCCGAGTGCTGCACCTTCTTTCATGGGAATTTGAGCGACCCGAAGTCCTCTGAAGATACACTGTTATACTTGTATGTCATTTGAAACATGTTGAAGTCGGCTGATCTACAGGAAAGTATCCTCACACCGGTCATTTGTCATAAACATGTACGTTATCACGATGGCGTGACGCTGTATTTCTCCATGAAGTTTCCATCGGTCGCTCCAAAGAAAACAGGAAATAGATATTTTTCTTATATGTCAGCAGATTTCCGCTTTCTGAAGTAAAAACAACCAAAAAAAAAAGAGGAAAACCTTAATTGAACGCTCGTAAACACTGAGAATCTGAGAGTATAAATCGTAACTTGTCAGCGGCAGTACTACATGTAAAACCCAGTTGGAAGAATAGCAATTTGAACGACATAGGCATCTCCTCACAAAGAACAGACTCGGGCAGTTATCATTTCCTTGTGACAGGAATTAAGATATTCCAAATCATCTGAAAACAGTCAGAAAACTGTTAGAAAATTTGCATACGAATTTGCGAGGAGGGACTTATCACCGCCGCAGTGCTATCGAGTCAATCGATGTTTCCTTCCATGTCTTGATAAAGAAAAAATCATAACAAAGCTCGAAATAAAAGATTTAATGAAATCATAATGTCATAATTCCACTTTTCAAACAACTTATTATCCACATGCAAATCGCAACTTGTCACTTAAACGAAACTCCCCATGGTTAATATGTAATCCGGATTGCTTCATGTGCATCAGAAAAAGGACAGCGATTTCATCACCATTATTTTCCATACTTTTCTCCCGGATATCTTTTACAAGATATTTCTCGGTCCAAGCGACACCAAAAATAGTTCCTTTGTAATTTTTTAAGCACTTTCTAGAACATTTTTTTGTCACGGGAAATAAATCTCAAGGCTCAAAGCCAATATAACGTTCGAGCAGGTGAAAGACTCCCTGAAAAAAGCTAAATTTTGGAAATTGATTGTGATGAAATCCCTGTTCCGTTTTCTGTACTGCAGGGATACTGAGTAGTTCCAAATCTCCACTTTGTGATGATTTTCGCGTCGTACAAATTGCCATTGTTGCGACTGAGTTTTACATGTATTACTGCCGCTGACAAGCTGCGATTTCTGCTCTCAGATTCCCAGTGTTTACGAGTGTTCAATTGATACAACGTTGGAGAACATAAGTATCGCGGAGATTCTACTTACAAGCTGGCTGTGAAGTGGTTCGTTGACATGTTTTGTCAAACGGTCCAACTGGTAACATCCTTAGCGGAGACCGAAGTGATCTCGTGCAGGCAGTCAGGTATGGAGCAGCTGTACGCTGCATGCGAGGAAATGAATGTCGGGGCTACGTGAACAATGCTCAAAATCTCGCTGTGTCCCCAGATGGAAACCGTGTGGCTGCTCAGGCTCTCAACCACTTTAGCATGCGGTTAGCACCTGCTCCAGACGAGGTTATGATTAGCCCTAACGCTTACTGGTGGTTTACAATTGTGTCCACAACTGGCTGGAGGGAGAGGTCTCGCTGGAACGTTGGTGAGCATGTGGATCGCGGACATACCTCCGACAAAATTAGCCAGAAGTGTTTTGTCTACCATTGAGTTAAATCAAAAACGTCCTCATGTGCGAATTTTTGAGCTGGCGAACGAACTCTATCATGCGTTTAGAGTATTTGTTGTAAAGCACCAAAAACATCCAACTCATCGATTCTATTTTGAGCCAACTTAGAAGAAATGTGGCGATTGCTTGATTACTTTCCATTGTAGATAGCTTCAGTAGGCTTTGCACCTTGTTCCTTTCTGTTGACTAATGTCTGTACTAGAGCGACACAATGAGTAGTTGTTGAAGAACATGTGGATCCACCGGAAAACCAAACTGACTGATTAAGTATACTAACACTGAGCTGCGTGCTGAGTTTGACCTCGATTAACTTGATTTGCTTGAAGAGTGCGAGAGTTAGCAAAGATCCTGAGTAGCGTTGACGGGTCTTGAGAGAAAAAATGCATAAGCACCTTTGTTTGAATTGCGTGCTAAACTGCCTACACTTAATTATAGCCTTGACTTCATCATCGAGTACATAGAGCTCCATTTAATGTTGGCGGTTTAGATTGGCTATAGCTTTGCCGGCTCGGTTTTTGCCCGTACCGCTCTTGCCCTTTTAGCCATTCTTCATCAGGCCTCGGCCGAACTGGAAAACATGTGAGAACTAACCTCACCTAAAGAGGCTTCCACGTATTTAAGCATCAAAACTTTAATTAAATGCGTTATTTCCTGCCTCTCCTACTGGGTTTGCTCTTGTCCACAATTCCTTGTTGTTGTTTTCTGTTCAAACATCTGGTAGATGGTACAAAGGCCAAAAGTTTCTGCCTGAGTACATGGAGTTATCAACATAATTCAAAATGGCGTCTGCCGTCGGGCTGTAGGCTAAAATGATCTGGTTGGGTTTTCCTTCTTTTCCGCTCCATCTTTGATAAAAGTAAACCTTTTTCGACCGCACCAACGAAGATGAAATGTGCGTAAGAATATCTAATTAAAAAGAGGAGGGAGTCAAAGTCCTAAAATCGACGATGACGACGCTCGATTTGGAAATATTCCGTCAGACCGTTCGCTAAAATCATCGAGGTGGTTTTTTCTTCCTTTCGCTCCATTCTTGATCAAAAGACACCTTTGTCAGACCTCACAAACAAAGAGCAGATGTGCTGGAAATAAACGGGCCTCAAAGTCTTAAAATCTATTAGGACAACATATTGATATATTTTCTTGCGTCACGAAAGCGATTTTTAGTTACGTCTTCAGTTGATTTTGCGCATCTGTTTGGCTACCAATGGCTATATTTTATACATATTAGGCGGCTGATTTACCATGTTTTGTAGTTTTACAGATTTCATTGGATTTGACCTTTTTTTTCTTACGCCTTTGCGCATTTTGGTTTTTCCCGCTATCGAAGTTGACATTGCTTCCCATGCAAAGAGAGCCATTATGAAAAATGAAAAAATAGTAGTGTTTCCTTGTAAAACTATTTATTTCATGGTTTACAAAGAACACAAAGCGCGAAGGCATGCTCGTGAAAAACTCGTCAGGAAGGTTTGATCATAAACTTTATTTGACGTATATAACTTTGCACTTGGCACGAGTGTTCACTGACAACTGCATGTGAAAGTACGTAATAACAAATTAACAGTTAGTTATGAACCTTTAACTGTAAGATACCCTCTAAGGTCAGCGTTAGGGTTAAAATATTAAGAGTACCCTCTCTCATCCTACATGTTTTCTTACATCGTTCATTAACGGAGGGAGGCATTAAATTCTATTAGAAACCGCAAAACCGTAAAAAAATCGTTCAAAACCGCAAAAAAAAAAAACTCGGTCAAAACTGAAAACCGCATGCAAAACCGTCAACACCGATAAATTTCCACATCCAAGTTATCAAAACTCTCATCAATGCCATAAAGTGGTGACTAATGGAGCACACAGATGTTTGCAGAGGCGCAAAATTGCCTCACAGATCCAAGAGAAACCGGAACCGAAATAGCAAAAACCGAACACCACATCGGATACCAAACCCGAAGACCCACTGATGTTTTTTTTATGAATATTGAAAACCAAACGCTTAAAACGTAAAATCCGCCAACCACTATGAACACCAAACCGAAAAACCGAAGTTTTTCGGCACAAAAAAACCGGAAAAACCGACCTAAAAGATAGCCAAAACCGCAAAACCGAAAATCCCAATGCCCCCCTCCTTTCGTAAGATGCACTACGTTTAAGCTAAATCGGGGTTTGAACTTTATCAACCTCCTGCCTGGCTTACCCATGGAGGCACTCTCAAAATCAAGACAAAAAGACCCTTACCCCCGTATGAAAACGTACAATACTGGTTGTTCAAAAGCTTCTTAATGACTTTACTCTCTCATTTAAAAGTAATAAGATAATCTGGATAACACTGGTTATCATAGAACACAACGAATATGGTTGGATCTGTGGGGTTATCCACAACAGTGTCATAAACGTCGGTGGCGTCACTTCCCTTGGGAGGCGGAGTTATCATTCCCTGTCTTCCAGTCGTGTACTCACCGACAAGGACACGTGCAAGATACATGTAACGGTTTCCTGTCGCATCAGGTGGTGAATAGGTTGTTCTTGCTGAATAGGACGCATCTCGAGCAAAGTAAACACCATTTCCATACGCAATTGCTAAATTATAAAACAAACAAGTTAATAACAACGATTTCCTTCTTTCGGGCACTTAATTTTTATACTTTTTCTTTCTGGTAACATGCAGACATTCCATGTAATTTGGAAGCTAATTAAAGACTACTAAGGTTTTAAATGGATGTTTAGAACAATAATTTTTGACAGCTTCTTTCAACTTTCAAAGTCGAGTAATCACCCTTTTTTGAAAGGGATAACTACTATCAGTATACAAAAAGGAACTATCCTCATAACACGTATCTTTAAGGAGACCGAAAGGTTTTTTAAACCTTTGTATAAAACAAGGTCATGTATTATAAAGAGTGACCTTGGATTCCTAGGGTAGCACGAATATATCTATTTCATCTTTGCAAGCCAAGTTGATATTTTTAATAATGTTGCACTGTAACGTTTCCAGACCCTCCAAAGTATACCACGCAAAAAAATGTATGCAAGTACACAGCTTTCGATAACACTTAACTTAATAATTACCATTTTTGCCACAGTAGCTTCTGTTGAAACCGAATTTGCTGATGGAGGGGCAGCTGTCTCCGGCTGTTCCATGGAAGAGTAGTTTTTCATTGCTGCCATTCTTATGTTCCATCTGCTCCCTTCTGACGACGTACGTGCGGTACAGGGAAGGATTTTGCACTCTTTCTATCTTGATTATGGTAACGAGGGACGTCTTGCACAATTTGTCTGCTACCTTTTTGTACTCGCTCGCAATAGGGTCTAATAGCACTAGGTGCACCTCTTTCTCTTTTCCAGAGCCATCCTTGGGATGTACATCCCACTCCAAGGGTAATAGAAGACCTGATTTAAAAGATTTAATTTGACTTGAGATTGATTCTTATTAGCACAGTTCATGCGCAAATGAGATAACTTACAAAACTACTTTGTCATTAGTTTAAACACCATGAATGTAGCATACGTATAAATTTTCAGTTCAGCTGCACTGTACCTTTCCCAATCTCTTTTCGAACAACGATCCTCACTTCTCCATGGTCAAGGCAGGTTTCCTTCATGTCCTTGAAAACAATTTTGCATTTTGCTTCATCTATCAATACAATAACAGAGTCTTTGCCCTTGCCAAAGGCCTCTTCAATCTGCAAATTAATGCTGGGATCATAGGGCTCGGCGGTTTCATCATCATCGCTGTCATAGTAAAACCATTGTACATTTTTAGAAAGGAGCTCACCAACACCTCTTGCACGCTCTTCTTCGATCTTCTGGTTCAGTATTTCGTAAATTGCGGAGGCTACATCAACAACATCTTCTGCATCACCTCTTACAGATATGCGACCTATGGTCTGCTCAAGGTTCACAATGACGTCGTATTCAGCTTCCAATTTCTTTATTTGTTGTGTTTGCTCCTTTGAAAGGTTACATATTGCTTCACGCTCAATTACTTTCAGCTTGCAGTGATCAGCCACATCCTTTTCTATTTTCATGATGACTGCGTTGATGTCTTGCTCGGTGCTTGCAAAAATTTCTATGTGGCTGAAACGCTTTACTCTTCCGCGAAACATGTGCATCGATGGCATAGAAGGAGAAGACTCTGAGCCACTTCGTCCAAATCCAAACAATCCAGCAAGCTTTGAGAGAAAACATGTTCCACCTTTTTCTGAGGTCAAGCTCGCCTCCATTGCAGTCTGGAACACACTTAACATTAGGGGCTGATATATCACTATACGAACAAGAGCAATGGATACAGGTTCCTCTTGAGCAAACTTGAAAATAGCGGCCATCATCCCCTCTGCAGCCTGTTTGGCGTCTTTGCCAATGTTCCCTGTTCCAACAGCCGGGAATGAAATCGAGGTCAATCCATCCGACTCTGCCTTTCGCAAACTCTTCAAGATGCAGTTACTTATGGAACGCATGCTCCTGTGCGGGTCCGAAACCATGTGGTAAATTTTTCTTACTTGTAGCTTTCCGGCTCTAGAAGCCACCACAGTGCCTGGCTTCTGTGACCCCATAGCTAAGCATTCTGCTTGAATACTTAGTCCTCCAGCAGCTAGGATAGCCTTTCCTACACCACCCTGTGCGACATCGAGCTCGCTGTTAGACAAGGTCGAGATTGCATCGGTTACTTCTTTTGTGATGTTACCAGTCTCAGCTTGAACGACTACATTGCCAATAGTTATTTCAGGTTGTAAGGGATCTAATATTATAGGCTCTTCATCCGAGATAACATCTACATCATCGGGGGTATCTATTTCTGATCTCTTATTGCGACCACTGCGCAGTCCCCGACGTTTCTTCTTTACATCTCTTGGACTTCTTTTTTGTAGTTCGGTCTGGAAGGCTTGCACTGATTGCAAATCTTTATTATAAACGACCAAATGGACTTCCTTCAAAGTGCTGCTTGGATTTTTCTCACTAAAGGATAAAACTTCTTTAAAGGAAGCTGCAGCCACGCGATCGTGGGGAAAGCCGAGGTTCCCAGTCCCAATTGCGGGGATAGAAATAGTCGAAAAACTCTTTTTTTGTGCTTCTTCGAGACATTTCCTTATGATACCCCGCAGTACCTATAAATAAGATGATTAAGGCTTCATTTACCTTGCAGATAATTATAAAGATGGCAAATTTTCTTAATTTCGCATTATTTTGCGCTTGAATTACACATTAAAACAGAAGCAATTTGCAGGCGTTTCGCAACACAATTCCTGTTATTTTTTCATTCAAATAAAGCATGTTATTTTTTTTGGCATGGTCATGGGCCTCTTCTGTTAGTGCAACAGGGTAAGTTAGTAGAAATAAGCAGACATACCATGTTTGCCATTGCAAGAAAAAAAGATGATATTTGTGCTTACCTTTTCGCCCGCTCCGTTCTCCCATCCGGCGCATGAAGTGTGGAAAACGTGCTTACACGCTAGATTTGCTCCGCTTGTAACCACAATCTCTCCGGTCTTTACCTGGCCAATCTTTTTACACTCTTCTTGCAGCTTGGGGCCAGCAGCGGCACTCAGGGCCTTAGCACTTGCGTTCGCATCAAGATTCAGGTCCCGCGACGTTGAGTTGACGACAACATCAACCTGAAGAAAGCCAGCAAGAGATGTTGTTGTCATAAATCAGAATGAGGCCCCCAAAGAGGACCCAATGTAAAAATATGTTTAGATAACTGCATCGCGACTCGGTAACTAACCCTCACTATTTACCTCCACTTCGGTGAAACATTGTTAGAGAGATATCTCATTGGAATCAATTTGATTTTAAAGAGTATAATGTGCCTTACCACTTCAGAAGACATATCGCCAATGACAAGAACCAACTGTAAGCCTTCCGCTGTCATGATAGCATTCCGAGCAGTATTGGAAGAAACTGTTGCCGAGGACGTATGTGGAACTGATGTGGTTCTGCCTTTTTTCTTTCTTTCTTTTCCCTTCCTTTTTGGGTCTGAAGACGATTGATAATTAGGATCGTTAAGACATCTGGAATCCAACTCTTTTGCAAAGGCCTTCACGACACTACCATCGATACTAGTAAACTGAATCTCGGACAGAAGACAATTCGGGTTTTTTCGGAAAAAATCCAGCATAGACTCTACCATGATTTGGGCGCACAGTTCAAGTGGAAATTCAGAGATGCTTGTGCTAATGGCAGGAATGGCAACCGATTTATAGTCCTTCGCAGCGTTTAGGGCATTCGTTACTGCGTGGCTTAAAATCTTCTCCTCTCTCGGATTTTTCCCCATTGATTTTTCCAGGGTTGCTTTTTCCCCCCATTTTGGCCCCACAGCATGAATTACTTTTTGAAAAGGTAGTTTTCCTGCAGACGTGACAGCCACTTGGCCTTCCAATATTAGTCCCGCATCAATGACAAACCGATCACACTCTGCCTTGAAGGCCTCTCCTGCTCTCTCATATATGGCTTTTGAGACACCACCTAAGTGCTGAAGCTTTGAGTTAGCATCATTCACAACAACATCCACGTTGCGATCGTAGATGTTATCTTTGAACACCAGAATCCTTTTTCCGTCCGGAGTAATCAGGTCGTAGAAACTCTTCTTGTTTTCTACTTTCTTTTCTTCTGTCACTTCCTTTGCGCCCTCTTTGTTTGGTATGAAGTATTCGATTACACAATTATTTTCATTCTCCAACATGCCCAGTAATTTTTTTCCTTTGTTTCGATTAAGCACCCTATGCATCCCAGGTTTGCTGACTGGCATCTGTTGACTTTGAACTTTAGATGCAAGATCTTGAATCAGCTCCAAAGCTTTGTCAACTCCACAGGTCGTGCCGGAGACAACCAGATCTTCTTTATCTTCATCTGCCAAACTCTTTATTCGCGTGGAATATTCTTTCAAATCCTCTTGTATTTGCCGCAGTTCCGGTTCGCGGTACTTAACAAGAAATCGGCGACAACCCTTTGGAAGGGTCACAGCTGTACTGATAATGGCATTTTCTGCGAGGAAAAGCTTAACAGCCTCGACAGCAACCGAAACATCCTTTTTTACCCCTACGAGGCTTATCTTCTTATTGTCTCTATCAAATGAAAGTTTTAAAATGTGTTTTTCTGCTATCTCTTCTTTCAGCTGATGCCACTTTCTGCTTTTCTCTAAGTGAACTTGATCTTCGTCCAGGTCAACGCATTCTTCAACTATCAAAGTTTTCACGAGATCGTGAGCTTTCTCTGCAACATCAGTTTCCATCCCCAGCACAACTAAATTTTTGTTTCTTTCGTCAAAGGTTATCATGGCTTGTAAATTTCTGGCCGTGAATATATCTCCCATGAATGATTGACAGAGAGTTTGACTAAACAAGCCGAGAGCATTCTGTGGCAGGTTCAGCTTCACTTCTGTCATTTTAGCAACTGCCTCCCAAATGGCTGCTTTTACCTTATGGACAGTTTCAGGAGGACCTCGAATTTGAAGCTTTTCCTTTTCAAGGAGAATAGTGACTTCGATTTCTTCATGTCGACTTTCCAGTTCCTGAAAAAATTCGAGATGTTTCAAGAACTGCAAGCTCTTATATGGAATTTTGACTGTACACTCTATTTTTGATGCCTCTGTCTTAAGCTTTTTATCAGTTACAATTATTATTCCTTTCAATTCTTCAGCAGCAACCTCGACGTCTTGCTTCTTCCCGATAAAAAGGAAGACGTGCTGCTCAGGGATACAATCCACTCTTACTTTTTTCTGTGCTGGGCTTTGACTTTTCTTGAAGTTGTCGACTACATCATTCCAAGCCTCAGGAGGGACATGCGTGAAGCTTTCAACAAACTCAGCAAGGAAAGAAGCAATAGCCTCACATGCCTTATCGAATCTGTACTTGTCTCTTGAGGCCTCATCTTTGGGCGCGACTGTGACGCTGTTGATGTCCTCATGCCAGGTTATCTCAACATTGTAGCTGTTCTGAACCTCTGTCAAATCAGCTTTGCAGTGTTCCAAAATGAACCGCATTTTCATTCCATCCACGTTGATATTTTGCATCAATTCAACATCATCTTCAACAGGGTGAGGTTTCCCAAGCAATGAGCAATGATAACTGACATCCAACTTTGCACCGCTAAGGGAGTGAGTCTTCGCCACAACTTTGGAAACAACTGAAATAGATGTTCGATAAATTTTTAAGGTACTATGAAAACACGGGAATCTTACTGCTTAATGCTTTTCTCGTAGAACTTACTTACCACCACATACTTTCTAAATTATAGTTATTTGGAACTGTGTTTAATATATCACTAAACAAATTGATCCTCGCAGTATAACTCCTGTTAGAGTAATGAAAGAAAGATAATTAAAAAAAAGGCTTCGATGGGGATTTAACACGTGCCTTCAGATAGTAGTTAGGCACTTCTACCGACTTAGAAAATAAGTCATGTACTGGGATAGAGGTGAAGTTTAATGATTCTTTGTTCCCCGATAACAAGTCCGCCAATGTCATCTATTGCATAACTCGCCCCCAGGAAAAGGTATTCATTAGCGAAATAGGAAGACAACCAGGCGACCGATTTCGAGAACACCTTTGCGACGTAGAAAGGAATGAAAAGGACGCATTCAATACAGTCGCTAAACACTTTAATCTCCCAAATCGATCTAAACAGCATATGGCAGTCTGCAGCCTTTCCCTACATTGAAGCAGTTTGGAAAGCCGAAAAACTCCAAAAAAGTATTCATCTTTCAATCAACACTCTTAATCCCCACGGAATCAACAAACGCTACTCATACAACTGAATTATTTTCATTTCTCTCGTTACCATCAGTAATAGCGTAGCTCCATTTTCTGTTTTATAAACACACACAACCCACAACTCCTCCAATCGCTCTGACGAGGGGCTAACACTCAAAATGTCAGCTTTAGAAATTCTTTACGTTGGCAATTTACATAATCAACTCAATTTTAATTATTAAACCATATTACCCTGTTATACTCCCCCTCCAACGCAGCACAACGGTTTCATTGGAAACTTAATCCCTCCATTCATTCCAGAAAGCACTTGCTGACTTTAACCTGATTGAATTTAACCATGATGATGAATTCGTTACTAGCTAGTTTTTCACTACTCAATGCTTTTGAAGTGTTATGTCCTGTAGGTTGGTAGACCCATACTACGCGTTTTCTCTTGAGGGCTGGTGTTCGACTGAGAACATTATGCTTTTCTTGAAACGTCAAAGATAATGGGGACGTTTTCAAAAGATCATAGTAACCTGACAGTAACTGACCTTCTCTTCAATAAGGTAAGTTATGTTACACACCTTTTGGGTCTTCGAAGTGAACCAACGCCCATCCCTCTTTTACATTGAGCTCTACACTGCTTACATCACCACCGTTGTTCTTTGGACTCTCGAAGTAATAGCGTATAGCATCCTCAGTAGTTGTGTTCTTGTTGAAACCTGATACTTGTACGCATTTACAAACTGGAAGTTGTTCTACTACCAGGGTTTTTCCCTCCAAAGGCTTCATGGTGATCTTCTTTGTAACAGCGTGATAATCTGTGTATTTTCGAAACGATAGGTATTCATTGAAGTATTCAAGAACACAAAGATATCATCTTATCGAAAACTAGATATAAAAAAGTAAATTTATTGCATTCCAAGAATACATTATCATTGTGAGAGATATCTAGCTGTTATTAAGGCTATCAAAAATAACATATGATAATTTTTTTCCAAAAAAAACGAAATGGCCGAGCCCATCTCATAACAACCTCTTAACAGCAGTTTAAAAAATTAAAATTCACCAGCCTAACAGAGTTACTGGTTGGAGTAAGATCGTAAATAAAACATCATAAATAATACATCAAGGAACAATAGGGGTATAAAACCGCTATTTAAATCGCCCCAAAATTAAGTCAATTCATCCTTTCCAGTTGTTATTTGGGTTTAACTTGCAGGGAATTAGAGCTTACCATAGGCTTCATTGAAGGTGACTATCGCACATGCTTCACCTCCAAACTCGACTTTCAGGACTTCTACTCCACTTACTGCTTCCATGTAAAACTGAAAAGTGTCTTTGGCAGTTTTGTCACCGAGGCCTTTCACTAAAAGCCTTTTAGTGTCAATAGGCAGTTTCTGTGGAGGTTGTTTGAGAGTAATGGTCAGATTCGCTCCATCATAAGTTAGACTTCCTCTACTGATGACACCACGAGCACCTTCAAGTAAGAGGAAAGAATAAAATTGACTAAGTCAAATAAAAAAGCAAAGAAAATAAACAAGAGAGAAAGAGAAACAAAATGCACAACAGTATTATTCATAACCTATGCAACTCGTTCCAAATGTTTACCACAAGGATAATTTCAGTTTGTTTTCATCCCTTTTAGCAGATGTCAACATTCCCCGCGGCGTATAATCAAGGGCAATTTAGAAATGAAGAAATCAGTTAGTTAATCTGTAAATGTTGCTCTGATTTCATCTAGCCCTATCCAATGAAAGAAAAATCGACACTTTCTACTTCTCCTCCTCCGGAACGCTTTTTGTTCTCAAAGAAGTTTAAAATGGCCTCTCTAGTTGTTTTTGCACCTATTCCAGTCACCTCAATGATGCGAGATTCTTGAGATACTTCATCGTTTGGTAGCTCAACTTCAGGGGTACGCGCTATAACATTCAGTGTGGCTCCGTCAAGGGAATGTTTGCTTTGTCTCAGGATACTTTTCGTTGCTTTAAAAGTAACAAGTTTCAATCATCACAGAACAATCGTATGTCTGGAAATTCTAAGTAAAATACTTAAAAATTGTCTATACTCACTTCCAGCCGATGTAAAAGTAATGACAGCGATCCCTCGGTCGGGAGTATAAACAATGTCTTTTATCTCTCCTCCCCCAGAGTGCCTTTGGTCTTCGAAGAATTTCAAAATTGCATCTTTAGTTGTTTGTGCAGCAAGTCCCGTAACCTCTATTGTTCGTGATTCTTGTATTCCTGCTGTGTTGAGCAAGTCAGTTGCTGTGCTGCTGGGTTTGACAAGCAGTATGGCTCCTTCAAGGAAGTGCTTGCCGCGAAGTAACACACCTTTTGCAGCTTGAAACGTGACAAAAATCGTTTCAGCATTAAAGATCCATACTTTAGAAATGCAAGATGATGAAGAAGTATCGTAACGTCTTTGCCTAATTGAACACTTACTGAGTTGTATCTCAAGCAGCTATCGCAGAATCGCTAAATGAGGAAAGTAATAGAGCCAAGAGGGAACTTTGTGAAATGTTTAAAACGTCCTGGAAGATGGCTTCATTCTTCTTCGTTAGAAATCAAAACAAAATGCAAACTATTTACCTTCAAAATCTTTGAAAGTCACGAATGCCACATTTTTGTCCGATCGAAAAGTCACACCTTCTACCTCCCCACCCCCTGAACGCCTCTCATTTTCAAAGTAGTTGCGAATGGAGTCTTCAGTACTCTGCGCAGTAAGGCCAGTGATCTGGATAGTTTTGCTTGCATTTTCCGCATTATCCAGCACTTCGAGACTGACATGAAGTCTAGCACTATTCAGGATATGCTGATCTTGCTTGACAACACTTTGTGCCACTACAAGAAATAAGATTAGTATTTTTGAGATTCTAGATTGTAAATTTTTCTTTGGTAACACAAAGTGGAGTAGTAACAACAACATCAACTATATAATCTTTATCTAAAAGCCATAACGACAAAAGATACGTGCTTCTACGTAAATAATTATATACTGAAAAATGTACTGAGTGATGAGCGGCAGGGGCGCGAGAAGAACAAAGTGCCACCAACGTCTTTGGTTCCAACCCCCTCGCGGACTTGCCTTCGTCTCTCTCACGCAGACAAAACTGCCAGTCACGCATACTGTACTGTTACCTTCCGATGACTCAAACTGCACACGTGCTACATTGCCTTTGATTTTCACTTCTTCTACAGCGCCACCTCCCGACCGCCTCGAGTTCTCAAAGTAATTCAAAACAGTGTCTTCCGTTGCATTTTGGGGTATTCCTTGAACAAAGACAACACGGGTCTGCAAGAACACAAGAGATACATTTGACCAACGGAACATTTTCATAAGAAAATCAAATGAGAAATCGGTACAGCGAAAAATGCAAAAATAAGAAATAAACAATGTGTTTCACTGCAAGAGCGACAGTTTGCAAAGGAAAAGTTTGCAGGAAATGTCAAGATATACTGTATTAAGAATTTGGAGCTCTGACATTGTGCAGTGTATTCAAGAGTGACTCATGCTAAGAGTGATCAAAAGAAACTTTTCGACTTAGTAATGCTTGACGCGAAATGAAACACAGTAAAAAGTTTAAAATGTTAAACTATGAGTCTGACCTGATTTCCTGGTCCGTCCTTAGCCTGGAAAGCGTCAGCGGTTGAATGGTGTGAAACTTCAACTTTTCTTCCATTTAAAGTGTGTGTTCTACCTACGACCTTCGTTGCAACTGCCAAAACAATAAAGAAAAATAAAAATGAATAACTAATTGAAGTCAAAAAGGGGAAACAAAATAGAGAAATAGGTAACGAAATTCATAGAGAAATGAACCAATTGATGGATTTATTACATTTTCAACCCGATGGAATTTTTTTCCGATGGGTTTGTTTGCTGACGTCATGAGCGTGCACGATAGGAATGTGAAGCACGCTCACGCAATTGAATTTGATTAGACAAATTTACTAGCTATGTTATAAAATCTGTTATTAAGACGAATTTACCGTGCCTTGTAGTAAAAGAGATATTCTGGAATCGTGAATTTGACTTTAGAATTTGACCCAAAAAAAACCAGGCTGAAAGTAATCAATAGTATAAGAAGCAGGAGTTTCCAGGAATTCCTGTGCGAGGTTAACATTTATCAGAGAGATTTACAAATAGAAAATTGACACAATTAAAAACATAGCTTATCACAAAATAGCACAACAAGATCTAATCACCGTAGAAACGGAGCAACTGTTTCCGTACCAAATTCACAACCGCAGTAAGAAAAAAGGGGAAAGAAATTGTACTTAGATGAGACCGCCAAAAGGAATAAGAAATGATCAACTTGTCTTATTATAATTTTGCATCTAATGGCTTAAAGTAATATAATATTTCCATTCTTTTTCCCAACACCAATATAAGGGACCCCTTACAATATTTCTGATTAAATATAGTTCTATTTTTATTGTTTAACAAAGATATACAACAGCAGAACTTACTAGATTTGTATCTTGTTCTAAACAACTTACCACCAACATCTTTGAAAGTCACGAATGCCACATTTTCTTCCAGCCGAAAAGTCACAGTTTCTACCTCTCCACCCCCAGAACGTTTCTCATTTTCAAAGTAGTTGCGAATGGAGTCTTCAGTGCTTTGCGCAGTAAGGCCAGTTATCTGGATGGTTTTGCTTGTATTTTCAGCATTATCCAGGAACTCGAGACTGACATCAAGCGTAGCGCCATTCAGGATATGCTGATCACGCTTGATAACACTTTGAGCCACTACAAAGAAAAAGTTATAAGATTAATATTTACAAAATTTTAGAGTGTAATTTTCTCTCCAGCACGAGTAACATCAACAACAATGGCAACAAAATCAACTATATTCTCTTGATGTAGAAATGACAACGAGTAATACGTGCTCAGATTTACAGAGTAAAAACCTGACCAATTCACTATGGCTTCGAAAGAGACAGAAGACTACAATTTAGAATTAACTGAGCTTGAAAAACGTCCTCTTTTCATCTGACACGTAATCGCATGATTGTTTACGCCAGGTGTCAAAAAATGTCACCCCTAAAGATCTCATAACCATTTTCCTTAAGTAACAGTCATTACCAAATCGAGTTAGCATTATGATCCTCGAAAGTGAGGATATCACAGAAAAACAAGCTTGAAACAATTCCGGTTTTAATGAGGTTCGAACCCTATCCTCCTTGCCAGTAGTTGGGTACAGGAAGCAACTGAGCGACGATCCCTCGTCAACCTGCTACGTATGCTATGCAGTTACCTTCAGATGACTCAAACAGTACTCGCGCTACATTGCCTTTGATTTGCACTTCTTCAACGGCGCCGCCTCCCGACCGCCTCGAGTTCTCAAAGTAATTCAAAACAGTGTCTTCCGTTGCATTTTGAGGTCATTACCAGCAATCCGAGACATTTTACTCCCGCGGTCCGCGAGGTCAGTAGTTTCTTCAGGTTCTACTGTTCATGCGCTATGGCGTCAGATTTCATGTAAACATGGAGCGAAGTAGATTTCCGCGGAGGAATCGAGTTGATTATAAAGCACTAAATGTTCTTTCTACAGTGGATTTAGAAGTTCATTTGAAAGGAAGGAGAAAATTTAAAAGCGGATCTAAAGTTTATTTTGTGGAGAGACTTATCAGCCGGCGAAGATTGAAGAACGAGGTATGTGTATTGACCCTTTTATGTTCCTGCAGCTATATTTTACTTCGGATGAAATTTATACTACAATCGAAGTAAGTTCATAAACAGCTCTAATCAATCTCTGACAATTTCAGGACTTTGAATACCTAGTAAAATGGAAGGACTGGCCATTGTGGACAAGCACGTGGGAGCCTTCGGCTCATTTGAATGAGCATCTTATCAGGTATATTTAGTTTGTTTTCGATGGTGATTTTAAGCTTAAATGTGAGCTTCATTATAGAAGATGGTTTGATCGTCTTAACCGTAACACGTTTTCGATTCCAATCTTATGTTTTGTTTTCTGCATTAAAAACTTTCTAGGGCATACAGCAACCCCACTGTTACCGTGGAAAGACTACAGAGCGCATCAGTTGCATTTCTGGAAGGCATTCTTTCAATCCTAAAATCGAATGCGGTTAAAGTTCTTTATTCCACTGAAATTAGAATGGATCATGATATTGTGAGATACGTTTTTAAAGGAAAAGGTAAAAGAGCAGAAGACGGAGTTAGTATACTCGAAATCGAGCAAAACATCAGACATTTTTTGACGATTCAGACTGGAATGAGCTCACAGTGATACAAGTTTTGTTTTTTATAATTGGCGCGATTTGGCGCTTGTAGGAGTCTGCAGATTGTTAAAACAGCGGTAAAAAGCGTGGAAATGCTAGGCTGCTAAGCTGAAGTAAATATGGCGACTTTTTTCACGAAGAAAACGATGGAAAGTGGTCGTTCTTCGCGTCCTACAGGACATTCGCGAGCTCAGGTAAAGGTTACGTCTAATAGTGAAAAAGCCCTATTTTCAAGATTGATTTGCGGCCTCCTATTTTATCATGGAAGGCTTTATTTAACGTATTTGAAAGATCGTAAACTGAAGAAAATTTTGAGGGGTCGGCACCGATGAAAGCATGAAACACACGGACAGCTCAAAGCATGGAAGTGAAGGTAAGTGAAGGTATTTGGATGAAACTATAAAGGAAGTACAACCGAAGATCTTTGTTATTTTACCTCTATTCCGCGGCTCGACGAATAAACGAAACGGTGAAAAAACTTTCGCTTCGTAGTGCAGTTGCATATTATTTATCAACGAGAGGTCGGCACGTAGAATTTAATTTATTTAAACTGCCAAAAAATAAGATTTTATTTCAGATCCCATACATTTCTTTGTATCTTCGGGAAGCCATTTTGAAAGTAATCTTTGATTGACGTACGGTATTTGAGACGCAATATGACTCGCATTGCTGGTAATGAGTCCTTGAACGAAGACAACACGGGTCTGCAAGAGCACGAGAGATACATGTGACTACGATGGCCTAGGAGGCTCCCAGTCCAATTTTTTTTTTTCACAGTCCAGTTTCATTTTTTTTCACATTCCAGTTTTATTTTTTCACAGTCCAGTTTTATATTTCCACGGTCCAGTTTTACTTTTTCAAAGTCCAGTTTCATTTTTCCACAGTCCGGTTTTGTGTTTACACAGTTCAGTTTTATTTTTTCACAGTCCAGTTTAATTTTTTTCACAGTCCGTGCACTTTTATTTTTCCACAGTCCAGTTTTATTTTTCCTCAGTCCAGTTTTATTTTTTCACAGTCCAGTTTTGATTTTTCACAGTCCAGTTTTTATTTTTAATTTAGTTATCAGATCTCTTCCTACTGATACATACGCATGCTCACGTTTGCGGCCATATAGTGCGTTAAAAGTGCGATGGATGCGTTTATAAGGCAAACATACGACAAAAAAGTTTTGTAAACATGTAATCAGAAGAGACACCTCAAGTTTTTATCCCCCTTAAGTGCATGCAATTTTCCAGGTTGTGTCATAAATCGTTGTGTTTCCCATTCATCTCTGGAAGTGAGTGAAGAGTATAAGATCTCCCTGCAGGGTCAACACGATGGCAGCAAACTGGCAATGAGCAAAGGCAAGCCTTTCAATCAGATGATTTGTCTTGATACAAAGGAAATTCTCCTAATTCTCCATAAAAAAGTAGATAACAGCTGGAAAGGAGAACAGCAAGTTTAATAGTGGGAGTTAAAGGTTTAAGATGACGTGTTTGCCACATGTTTGCCAGCGCTTTCTCAAGGGAGGTATTGCCTTTCTGCCCTTGAGAGGAATGTAAATTGTGATCTGTAACTAAAAATCATTGCGTTTGGTTTTGGTTCCAAGTTCATGCAACACATTACTTTTTGATTGTGTTGTGTTGGTTGGAATTGTGAAGGGATTTTACCAGAACTATTTTGATAAAATAGTCCCTTTGTACTAAGAAAAGGAAAAAAACTTAAGTTCGGCAACTTTATATTTTAACTTATTTTATTAGACCTGGAGGGGTTTAGTACTTTTAAGATTTTGCATAAAATGTTGTTTATGTCTCCATACTGAGGAGCTAATAATCATGAAAGCTGTTATAATTTTACATCTTTTTTTCTTGTCAACTTATTACAAAATCTATGGCAACTTCTCAACCTCTTTTATTAGTGTCACATCAATATCAAGGGCCTCATTTACGTCCTGGAGTGGCTGCGGTCCCAATGCAGTCATTATTGTTGCAGCAAACTCTTCAAATTCTTGACTCCAATCTGCAGGACACACGGTTGATTCATCAATGAACTCTTCAAGTTCTTCAACGTCAACAGGTACTTTTTAGTTTTCTGAGTTGTACAGGAGGGGCAGGAAAAACATACAGTCGGGTCTTCCTCTGGGACCACTCCTATTTCTAAACTTGCTTGAAGCTATAATGTATTGATTCCACATCTCAGCAACTTCATTAAGCTCATTTCTCTGAACTGGCATAAAACAAAATCGCATACACTCCTGATGAACAGGATCCGTGCTGTTAAATAAACCTAATTCGGACAAATCTCTGAAGAAATTGATCCACCAACCAAGACCACCTTTTACGAATTGTGACCAGTTGGATTCAGTTCTTTGATTAGCTGTGGATCTGCCAATATCAAAACATCCTGGGCCAGCATTTTCATCAGCATGGATGACCTAAGGAAATTATGAAGCGGCTCAATCACACTATTTTCAGTCCCAAGATCCGATCTTATCTTCTGGGGTACACCACCTAACTGTTTCACGGTATCTAGGTAGAACTTGGCAATCCCTTCTGGATTCTTATTTGTGGGGCCTATCTCCAGCCAGAAAGCCTTTGAAAGAACCCATCAACACAGCCATGCACGCTGAACTCGAGTGGCTTCAATTTATCGTGGCCATCAATATGCCAAATAAAATTTGGCGCTTTTTGTATGATATGCACGACGACGTAACCTTTTCTTTTGCCTGGTTTCTACACTATAGGGGTCGAGTTCCTCTAGAAGAGTCATTACTCTTGCTCTTTTGACTATACTTCCCCTCTTTCTTGTCCTTGCCCACATCTTGCGGTATCCCACAAAACAACCACTTTTACCAAGTTCCTTCTCAATGGCATTTCTCAGTTCATCATCAGAGATGTTAGTTTTTCTTGATAATCCTCAAGAGGTAAGCCTTCTCCTCAGAGTTGATAAAGTAATGCTCACCCCTTGGAGCTTCAGAAATTAAAGTATTTCGTAAATATTGCGATATAAGCTCTAGATAATCTTCAGCGGATCCGTCATTTACTCTTATACATGGCGTATATATTGGCAAAGGCATCTCTACACTTTGTGAATCAGGTGAGACAAACTGGTACTGTTAAAATTCCCGCCAAAAGCCAGCTTTCCTAGAATGTAAGCATGCGTATAGCTGTTGCGTCTTATTATAGAGAGCTGGTAACAAACTTGAAAAAAAAAACTGGACTGTGAAAAACAAAACTGGACTTTGAAAAAATAAAACTGAACTGTCATCCTCCAGGGCCATCGTATGTGACAACAAATACTTTCTTGAGAAAATCAAATGAAATTTCAGCACAAAAACAGACGCAAGGATAAAAAACAAAAAGATGTGTTTATCAGAAAAAGCGATATTCTCTCAACTAGGCTTGTCCCTTGCAGGAAAAAGGTTTACAAGGAACATCAAATATACCGCTGTTAGAATTTACAGCTTTGACACTGTGCAGTGTAGGCATAGTGAATTTATGCTATGAGTGACTTAAAGAAACTTTTCGACTCAGTGATGCTTGATGCGAGATGAAACACTGTAGGCAGTTTAAAGGGTTCAGTTGTGGGTCTGACCTGATTTCCTGATCCGTCCTTAGCCTGGAACTCGTCAGTGATTGAATAGCGTGAAACTTCCACTGTTGTTCCATTTAAAGTGTGTGTCCTACCTATGACCTTTTTTGCAACTGCCAAACAATTCAGAAAAGTTGAGATGAATTACTGAATAGATTAAAGAAAAAAACAAAAAGAAACATATTACAGAACGTACAATAAGTAATTTTTTTTCCAAAAACGAAAGTCATAAAGAAATAGACCAATTGATTGATCAATCACTTAAAGGATAGGATTGCTTGATTGCCATAAATTTGGAAATAAATTCAATTGCAGATCATCCAACAGAGAAATCCAAGCATCTACAGTAGGATTCCTTCTCGGGGGTCAAAGGCGTTATTATTTCGCGCTGCTCCCCTCGCGTCTAAATCGCACTTCGCGCACACCCTGCACTTACCTCCGTTTGACTGAAAAACGCAAAAGAATTATACCTGTTCTGCAGGCTAACAATAAACAACTTACCCTCAACATCTTTGAAAGTCACAAAGGCCACATTTTCTTCCGGCCGAAAAATAACAACTTCTACCTCTCCACCCCCAGAACGCCTCTCATTTTCAAAGTAGTTGCGAATGGAGTCTTCAGTGCTCTGCGTAGTAAGGCCGGTTATCTGGATGGTTTTGCATGTATTTTCAGCATTATCCAGGAACTCGAGACTGACATGAAGTGTAGCACCGTTCAGGATATGCTGATCATGCTTAACAACACTTTGTGCCACTACCGAGAACACAAAATGAGATTAGTGTTTGCAAAACTCTAAGGTATTTGCCTTAATTCAGCGACAGCCGACATTGAGAACAACAGCAGTAATATACTAGTGTTCTACAAATAGTGATAAGTACATAAACCTCTACAGGCGGCTGGTATTCCGGCCTATAATGTCTACGGCAGAGATATTTTCCGAAAGATGTATATCTGGCCGAGGAGCGAAATTTTGAAGCAAAATGTGAAATTTTGAGGACAATCTCCCAGCAAATGATATGACCTTCCCACCAATTTTCGTATCCTGTTGACAGCAAATTTGTTGACTTTTTTGTACTTTCCGTGGAAGAATTTGAGATCAGCTTTTTTAGTAACATTACTATCACTGCACTTCATAAAACGATTTCGTTTCTCTGCCGTGCAAAGTAATAAAGATGAAAAAGCAAAACTATTGTGCTGGGTTTTTCCCGCTGGCTTGTTTGTTTTCGACGGAAATGTTCAGAGGAAAATATCGACGAAAACAGGAGTTATTGCATATTAACTGTCCATTGATTTTGCACCACGTGATGTAAAGTGGCGAGTAGAATCGCACGAAATTAATGGATGGGTTATAGCGACTATTGTCAAATTTTCAACTCCTAATATTGCATTTCTAGTGTTCACTAGATCACTCGACTCCAGTTATCAGCTCATAATCCGA